AGTCTGAACAATAACTTAAAAATAATAAAAATGATGAACTATGATTTTTTTTAGATGGGAGCATAGTGAGTTTTCTAAACAGCCCCTCAGCAGTTAAGTGTGAAACGGTTGTGTATTTGTGTTAGCCCTGCAACAGACTGGCATACTGCCAATACATCAGCCTGGCTCTATTCAGCGGATTAAGTCACACCCAGGGGGGTCAGATACACCACTTGATATTAAGCAGAGGTGCATGCCACATTACATTACCTGCTAATGCACATTGCTGAAAATAACAATTTTCCATCTTGTAGTTTGCAAGCAGCAAGTGTTCTCCGCTGTACCAGATCTATAATTCAGAGAGGAGGACATGGCCACACTAACCCGGTTTAATGAAGCAGTGAATCTGAGTATGACTCAGAGTGTTTTGTGCCTTTTTGGCTCTGAGGCAGAGGAGTTATCTCCTTCCCCATCAGAAGCTGGACAGTTGAACATGCCTGGGAACATGCTTACAGTACACAGATTTAAATAGATGCACACAGATCTCAAAGCCTTTTAACTCTAGCTGTTGAAAAATGGGGCCAGGGCTACTCAATAATGATTTTAGGAATTTAACAGACACGTTACTAACTGGAACTAGCTATATAGGCAAATCAGGCTGTCACAATATGCTGAGCGCACACATTCACACGTAAAAGCTGTGGGATGAATCACTGCTGTACAATATCTATTAGCGACTGGAAACTGCAAAATAGACATTAATTTATATGAATAGGCTGCAAATGATTACTTTGGGAGCTCCATGTCATGTTATAATGTAGTATTACATTTGTTATGAAGCTGCAGTTTGTTATCAGTTTAACACATTTTTTAGCTCCACTGTGCTTATTAGGCCCCTCTGTATCAGAGTGTTATACTGCACGCCTGATGACAACTGACAAATGGAAGGCTTTTTACACTTCTTCATTGAAAACCATGTTAGGGTAAAAGGCTGTCAGCAATAACAAGGTCAATCGTGATGATCAAATAAAAAAAAGCTAAAGCTATTGCACCTTTGCAGGGTTGGGATGAACACTGCTTTGGGTCTGTAAAAGGTGATAAGTCTAAACAAACCTGCCAAAACGCCACAGCGGAGATGAATCCTCATTTTTCACTCTGATGGTAAACAAGAGTCGGGCAGTCGGTTTGTCTGTGATTAATTGGCTTTTATTATGTCGCCTCCCTCTCAAGCAAAAACCCATTACCTATGTCTTTATAAAATCTGAGGTTTCACTAATCAATAGCTGTCATGAGGAGTAGTGAGGTACCACACACTTGGTTGTAGTTAAGTTTGGTTTCTTTGTTTGGATTTGGGAGGAACAGTGTTCACACTTCATTAAAGAGTCATCAGTTAAAAAGAGGGGACAGCTCGCCCTCCGCTTGGTGGATTCAGATTCTGCTCAGGTATACACTCTGCCTGACTTTCCTCCTTCATCTCTTTCCACTTGGTATGGATGGCTTTGATTTTGCTTTAGGATAAAAATCTGAAAGGTCATGCAGCAGTTTGTCTCTTCATTTCCCCCTTCATACAGTATCTTGCTCTTGGCGCATCTCCCTTCTTATGGATTCTTTTTTCTTTTGAAGCTTCCCTCTGTGTTTCTCTTTTCCCCTTTCTTGTATTTTCCCTTTCTGTTTCTTGTTTTCTGTCAGGTCCTCGTTGGACCTCCATTAGTGCGAATTCATTCAGACAGCATGTAATTTCCTCTCTCAAAGATCCCTCGTCTCTTTCATCTCAGACGTTTCTAGGAAATGTTTCTTGCGTTTCCTCCCTGACCAGCCAGCCAGTTGTTTGGTTTCCTGACATTAATCAGCTGTAATCATTCATTTTTAGCGAGTCTTTCTTTTCCATTTTTTTCTTCTTGAGTCTTCATTAAGTTTCTTTGCTTACTCAACAGTTGACATTTGTGTCTGGAAAGAAGTGAAAAACATATCACAGGCAGGCAACATCAAAGTCACACATATCTTGACTAGATATTTTTTGTGCCTTAGTAAGACACTTTCCAAACCTCCTTACACATGAAAGAGGAACAGAAAAATGAACTATCACTATTATAAGACGTTCAAAAGCCATGACAGCCTTTCCAGAGCTGGAAGGTAGAAGAGGTTAACTGCACTCTATATCACTCCATCTCTTACTTCCCTTTCTTACTATGCTGCTGTTTTACTCACTGCACCACTGTAACAGCAGGGCATTGTGCGGCACAGTATTTCTGTATAAAACTGTGACAAAGCATGAATTACAGTAAGCTGTTGTTCAGCGACATAATGCTGCAATTTGTTTAGAACTACTATTTGTGGACTGAAAAATCATTGTAGGTACCGTAGATGTCAGCAAGTAGAGTACTGCGATGTCCTCTGAGCCGGTGGTTTGGAAACAGCCCCGAGCACTGCAGTGTCCAGTATTGTGTGTGTGTGTGTGTGTGTGTGTGTAGGGTCAGGACCTGGTTGCATCAGCCATTCTCGCTGCCGGTTCTCCCCAGGCACCAGCTGCCCCTCCAGCCTCTTCTCTACTGTCACCCCTCCATGCTGCAGGGACAGTCACACATACACAAGTGAAGGGCTGAAAAATGTACCTTCTACTCAAACGGCATCTAATGGTGGTTACCAGTGTGTGGTTGCCTTACTTATCTGCCAAGCGGATATATCAGCTAGTACAAGCCTATTCCAGATCTATTCATGTTGGCTGATAAGTAACAAGGAAGTGAGGTACAGAAGTGCACATCACTCTCCTTCTCTGTTGCAGCTCTAATCCAGTCTGATGCTGGCCTACAGGGCGGTGAAAGGAATTGCTCCTTCATACCGCCAAGCCATGATCAAACCCTCGGCCACTCGGCTGTGACCCGACCATCGTGCTCTGCTTCCTCTGCTTCTGCACGATTGGCCGCCCTGTCACTCTGAGGACCCTGTGGTCAATCATCTCGGTCAAGGCTCTTTTCTTTTCTGAACCCACAGTGGTGGAATGAACTCTTAAGTGAAGTCAGGGCAGCAAAGTTACTGCCCAACTTTTGCTACAGACTTCCAAAAAAACACCTTTTTAAGCCTCCTGGTGGCCTAACAGTTAAGCTGCACATCATACTGTGTTTAATTACAACCAGGGACCCTCAATGGATATTGTACCGCTCTTTCACACCCTACTCTATCTTTCCTGTCGGTATCCACATTGTCTCTATAGCAAAATACCAGCTAAATAACCATAAAAAATGAAATGCCCAAAATTTAAAAATATTGCAGCTTATACAAAGTTTCTCTGACAGTGAGCGCTGACATGTCTATTTTTCAACTCTGAGTGTCCCTTTCAGTTTTTAAGCGATCCTTTTTGTTTTTGTGTATCTATTGTTAGAAAAGTGTATTTTTTATTTTTGTTAGAGAATATGGCTTCCCGAGTCCGAAACCAATCAATTAAAATATTTTTGAACAGACAAAAAGATTATTATTATTGTCATTATACAAACACATAATCATAAACAAGGCAAATTGGAATTATTGTTCTGACTTGGACAAAAAGGTTTTTTACACTACAACTGTTAAAATGGCATTGCACTTCATACTTATTGTATAAATGATTTTATCAGTGATACAACATAATATACATTTCCACTATAGCAAATTAAATTAAACATAAAAATTAATATAAAAACCAACCAGGAAAAACTAAAATGCACCCTGCAATATAAATGCACCCTGTCATTGTCATGGAAGATATGCAGTAGCTCATTTAAAAATTAAAAACTACTGCATATTGAATTTACATTAAATAAAAAGGAATTAAATTTAGCCTAAGTGAAGCGTTCTAACCAATGTATTTCCATATAAACAGATGTGCTTTCTTTAGCAAGATGGTTTGGCAGACCTTCTTCCTGTCTGGTTCAATCACCCACAACAGTCTACACCTAACATTGCTAGTGACAGCATCAGAGGGTCTGTTGTAACCTCATAAATGATGTTCATTATGAAGCGTGTTCTCAGTCGGCACGCTACAAATTATCTTCTTATTGCATTGTTTGTCAGCTGTAACAAGTGAGCTCTTGTTTCAGTGAGCTCATGTAAAAACGAAAACACGATCATTAAAAGGTCTCAAAGGCAACCTTGATATGCAGCTGCAAAGGGTGGTGAAAGTCTAAGTATATACTTCTGCAGTTGCCAGGGGGTGCGTACAAAGATCGTCACACAACTGATTTAAAAAAAAATAGAAATTACAATTTGATGAAAAAATATATAGTTATAGACTTTCCTGTACCATCTGAATACTATGTGTTGTAATTAGTGTGTGAAAGTATCAATCAAATAGTTAGCTATGGTTAGCTTAAAAAGATGAAATAGTAGATAATTGATAAGTAATGGATAAAGGGTTAAAACGTCCAGCTTCTGTCGCTCCTAGTGGTGATAGCACAATTACAAACTTGACCAAACTAACCTAAACAATGAATTGTAGGAAAATATATTTTTAACAATATCAACTTTAATATAAATAATAGTGTTAAAAATCAGTGTGGTTTTGGGAAGTGTTGGGAACCATTGTTCTTACATTCAATATGAAAATAAAATCATCAAAAACATAAAGGATTTTCTGCATAGGCTGACCCATCGATTTCATTCCGGGAGGCTTAAGGCTGCACTGTAAGCAAAGATGTATAATTAACAACATGCTTCATATTAAACGCAGTGTAATCTGGATCAAACCTACACCGTGCCAACTAGAGCAGATTGGCAGGAAAAGGAGGAGGGGGGCTGAGTTGTTCTTTTGCTTTACAGCCAACTGTGCATTTGCTGTATTTCATGATCTTTCGCCATGTCTCTTTAGAGGCAGTCCAGACAGTAAAATCAATTGGCCAGAGTGGTGCAGTTTTGGATGGGTTTTAACTGCATCATGGGGATGATAGAAATCAAGTCCAGCAGTGTCTTGTAGATGTTTTTGTTGCTGCCTTTATGGGACCATAAAACCACTGCAGTAATCTCCCTATCTCTTTTATCTCTGCCCACAGGCAAACAGACCTGCCCTCCAGAGAAATTTGACTGTGGGGGATCCACCAACAAGTGTGTCTCGTTGTCATGGAGATGCGACGGGGAGAAGGATTGCGAGAACGGGGCGGATGAAGAAGACTGCGCGTCTGGTGAGTTTGTCAAAGATGGCTACCATAATGGAAATAAGCCCAAAATAAATACATGAACCATTGTTTCTGCTGGTTCACTGCTAACTGTGTTTAAATTCAAACAGTGGCAATGACAGATGTGCAGAAATGAATGACTTGACAAGGCTCACACACTCCTTTTTTTTGTATTTTATTGGCTTTCATCCTTTCACATCTCCCTTATCATCCAGAGGCTTGAGACATTAAAGCGCAGCAGGGAACATGCTATATAATTAGAGGGATTTGAAGTGAGGTTTGAGTTTTAAGCCAGCTGCACTTGACAACAAAGTCCCCTTTGATGTTGAATGGTACTTGGTGTGGAGTATCAGAAATTCACAGCTTTTTGTTAATATTTTGAGGTTTCTCTCATCACATGTTGAACCTTGAGTCTTTAGCCTTTCCACTGCAGGGTCCTCAGAACCATCAAAAATGACATCACCCCCCACCCAGCCAATCAGACAACTCAACCGTGCGCTGCCCCCACCCCCAGCCCCCTGCAGGGACTATCCTTGCCCTACTTCTGAGGTGCCGTGAAGAATCGGCTTCTTCTTTTCTCTCTCTCTCTCTCCCTCTCTCCCTTTTCACTTCACGTCAAAAAAAAAAAAAATGATTGAGGCAAGAGAGCTGTAGGGGGTGTGGCATTTAGACTTTGAAGATTGTGCAAAATGGCACGTGGCGGCAAATGCACGGAGCGAGAGAAAAAAAAAGCCTTCTCCTTATTATCCTATATAAATGATGTTCGTTTCCACAGGCATCTGCTCCCTGTTTAGTTGTTTGTGAGTGTGTGGGTGTTCATATTGTGACTGGCTGGTGTCTCAGCAATTTATGTTTATTTGTTGAGAACACGCAATTTTGAGTTTCTATTTAGAGAAGAAGCCAAATGGATATGGCATACAATTAAAACATAAATCAGAGAAACTGTCTTCTTGAATAGATATCTACCATCTCTTCCTTGAAAGATACCTGATATAAGAGCTTTTAATTTGTCGTGCAATAAAGATATTTTTGCTGGATCAGCCTGCCAGTGGCCTGTCAATGACTCCCTGTCTCAAAGTGGCCCCACACGCTCACGCCAGAGCAAGTGGTAGTGATTCCATTGACTTTAGATCTAATGCCTTCCTAGCTTAGATGGCTTTTCACTGCACTGTCCATTGAGACCCAGTCTAGCCTGTGCTAATCCTTTTTTCATTCTAATGTCTGTATTGATGCGGCAGTCTTAAGCCTCTCAGTAGTGACATGAGGGCAGGCAGCAGGCTGCCGCCCACCCAGGCAAATGCCAAAATCCCTCCAGAGGTAAACGCCGCCCCCAGTGTGACCGGGAGGGAGAAGTTGACTCTGACACCAGGGTAGCATAGTTGCTGGATAACATCGCAATTTAGGCCTATTAAGTGCTACTCAAGCCAGTTTATCTGAAGACTGATTAGGTCTAATGTCAGCGTAAAAGATGATGCTTAAATCAAGGGCAAGAAGCTTTTAAATGTTACCTCACTGCAGATCAATCTGAGGAGGTACCAAGCATTGATTCTTCAGTGTTATGTTTGTGGTCCAGCCGAGTGTCCTAAAGAATGATCATATTGGACATGCTTCATTAAATTTAATACCAATGCCAATGCAAGAAGTAGTCAGATCTTTATATAGCTCTAAAAGTGAGGTTAACCTGTTTGCCCAATTTCTCACCTTGTCTCCTATTAGAGGTTAACAATACCAATGAGTCTTGCACTGTTTAACCTAGCCAGCCCTTACTCATGCTTTGCTGACCATGCCTGGCTATTAGAAGAATAAACAATAGGAAGAAAATTACATTCAAATCATTGTCCTTGAGACTAATCTTATATTTTTCAGACTCGAAATCAGCGTTCTCAGCATTGAGTGTGCTGTATTGTCTAAGTATTGTAAATTACACAAAAACCCTCTGTAAATGCAAACTTAAATGACTTCTAGAGCTGGTCGCAGATGATAATTGCCTTTTGTCAAAAGGACTGCGTGCTGTATTACTCCTAAGTACTGCAGACAGAAGGTTTTAGATCTTTCACATTCACAGTCATGAAGTGAGGCCAGGGAGAAATGGTGGAAATTACCAATTGGTTTGAGTATGTCTCAGTGTGTCTGTTCATTGCGGGCTAGCTGTTGGCATAGGGGCAGCTGGAGAATTCACCTCAAAGCAGCATTAACTCAGCTGTATGTTTGGGTTTAGAGGTATAAGATGAATGAATAAAGGTGTGTAAAATGATGCAGCAGCAGTCGTACAAATCGACAATAAAGCAATTTCACGAACAGCATAGTGTATGTATCCAATTGCATTTTGCTGCTGCCGGCTAGCAAAGGCTCAGCTGCAAACTTCAGTGAGTGAGGCTGCAAATGTAGTTCCAAATCATCTTTGGGTGCAGTTAATTCAAAATATTCCCACTCTACCTTCACCTGCACATTTTTGAATTAGCCTTTCACAATTACTTTTTAAAATAAAGTTATAGACATGAATTCACATGTACTGACACATAAATCATTTATTGCTCAGTTTGAGTGACATGGCAGCCTGCAGCGCTGTGTGGACCTGTTTGGGGAAATCAAAACAAGTTTATTCCAATGACTGTCACATCAATTCATGCTCCATGTCACTGCACCTTGTGGCTTAATTCATTCTCTCTAGTGATATAAAAAAGTTGATTATCAAACTATTAGTTGGCTCTGCAGCTGGTTATAAATAATGATTAACAGGGAAAAACTAAGGACAGAAATGAGAGAATCATGTAGTATGACACAAGCACAACACGCCTTTAATTTCAAAACCCATTTTCACCTGATCTGGTACAAATAATTGATTACTTCATGAGTTTCCTGATCAACAGTAGGAATGCATGAATTCGTTTAGTTAAGCCTTCGAACTCATACAAGTGTCACAAATTCAGTATCCCACAATTCTTAGGTTGTTCTTCTTTGCATTTACACCAGAGTTTGAATGACAGTTCTCACACCAGCCTAAACAAACTAACCAGAAGGGCAAACACACCAGATTTGATTGGAACTGCACAGAACAGATGAGTTGTGAAAGCACCCCCAGTGTGAGTCTGTTCTTTTGCTGTCTATCACATGAATGCTTTTTTTTTAAATTGCTCATTTTACAATGCAGGATTGTATAGTGGCGACACAGTCAGTGGTTAGCACTGTTGCTGCACAACAAGGATGTCCTGGGTTGGATTCCCTGCTGGGGCAGAGCGTTTTTGTTTGCATGTTCTCCCTGTGTTTTTGTTGGTTCCCTCCGGTGCTCCGCTTTCCCTACCATCTAAACATGTTTATTAGGGTCACCAAGGTACATGCTCAGATCTGAGGTTGGACACTGCACGGTGGCTGCCCATTGCTCCCAATACTAAGGATGGGTAAAATGCAGAGAATGGATTTCCCTACAGGGATCAGTAAAGCATAACTTCCCTTTAACTTTACTTACTTACAATGAAATTCAGGTTGTAGTTCCCTGTATGCTACTCGTAAAAAAAGATATTATATATACATATATATGCTTATATATATGCTCCTGCTTACTGTGAGCAAAACATTTTAGTCATATTTGCCCAAATGTTAGTAGAGAGGTTGCACTCCGTAAACTGACAGAGCTTGAACGTATCAAGTTAGCCCCAGCGCGCTCTACTATTAGTAGAAATTTACAGAGTGCACAGCCTGCCGCAGACTTGAAAAAGCAAATCTTGCAGAGGCATCCTGCTAATTGAGTCATCTACATGTTGAATTATGTATTAAGTAGAATCTAGCCCTCACCAGAGGAAGCTTTTCCTGATCAACATTACATTAAGCAGCAGTTCTAGAGAGGCTCCACGAGAAAGTTGAACTGTCCTCAACCCTCAGCGATGTGGAGATTAATGTGCACTTACTCCAGCAGGCATCTCTCCTGAGCATGCCTGTCTGCTGGGATCTATTGCGAGGCACAGGAGCCGGTCTTTGGATTTGTGTGTTTTCACGTGTGTTTGCATTTGCAGTCAGTGTCAGGCAAAGTTGACTGCCTGGTGAGCGCATATAATATTTCTGTGAGGTTCTATTTTGGCATGTTTTTCTTGATTCATATTTAAAGCTGCTTTCATAGTACGAGGCAAACAATTACTTCCTGCGCTCCTCACAGCTGTCTCCTTGCCCCTGTAGTGAAACTGAACTAGCGGATAAAGTGCATGAAGCTTTTACACATTTTACTTCCACTGACAATTTTTTTCCCCTGTCATTCTGCTGATTTAGCTAAACATCTAAACATCTCAGCACTCATTGTGTGCCTCCTTTGCCCTCCCCCCTCAGTTAGCTAACCTTCTCAATCAGTAATGATATCAGGGGGGCGGTTAGAAACTGCCTCCACTTTCACCCCCATCTTGTCCTCTGTTACCTTTTCTTTGGTTGTCACTCTAGATGAGAGAGTTGTTTCTTCTCTATTACAGCTGTGTTTGCTGTAGTGTGTGTGTGGCATCACAGGAAAGGTCAGCCACCGAACTCTTTCCCTGGTGAGAGTATAACCCGTCTGAACTGGCAGGCAGTGGGAGAGTGTGTGTGTGTGTGTGTTTCTACCTTTCCAGGATTGTCTTTAGTGGATGTGTGTGTTCCAGTGACCTTGCTGCAGTGGCCCTCAGCTCTCTGAGCAGAGTAGACAGGTCTGAACTGTCCCTTCAGTTGAAATCTATGAATATCTATGAGCAAGCCAAGAGGACGTAAAGCTGCACAGTGACTGATGTGCTCAGAAGTATTTGCGCGTGTACCAAAATGTTTTTGCATGCTTACACACAACCTGGAGGTCTTTCTTTTATCTCACTCCTCCTCTATCTCCCTCTTACTGCGCTAAAAATTGTATCTTTTCTTTGTGCATTCTGACTATTCACACGCACACACAGTCATCAGCTGTAATGCTAATGTAAGTAGAACGACCGGTCATCTCTTGATTCTACATCTGAGTCACTGGTTGCCGCTGGCAACAACTCACCAAAGCTGCCAGGAAAAGTAAAGTGGGTTAAGCTGCCAGCTTATGACTACCATGGCAGTAGTCATAGAAAAGATTCTCCCATCCAAGGAATTGAAAGAGGAGCAATATATGATTGTGTGAGTGGATTTTGCATATTAATAAAGTTTTTATTAGTTGACATCATAGCCTATTTTCTGTTTAATTATGTATTATTCATTATTTCTAGCAAACAAAATGTATGTGTGCTTTGATAACAATCATCAAGGTAGCCTGTCCGGAGAAAATTTTTAAGTTTGCAGGAAAAGTCAACTGAGAAATAAAATGAAGGATCCAAAAAGTTGCTCGTCTATCAGCAATTTCAGAAAGTAAAACGCCAATGAGATGTCTGCTGTGTTTAATGATTTGCGAATTATTTCAGCAGTATTTGTTTCATCTTCTGTGTGTGCAGAAGATGCATATAATATAGTGTACATACTGTTCATGCAATGTATGTATACATATACATCCGTTTGGTGTATAGCATGTTATTTTCCTGCTTTTGTTTAAACAGTCATTCCAAATTCTGTACATAAATGGATAATACATTTGAAGGTTCAACCCACTGAGTGAAGTGCTGAGTCCCTCTGTGATTTATTTATCATTTAAAACCCACTGACTTGTACAACATTATACAGTCTGTGGGCTCCAAGTTGCTCAAAAGTCTTAAAATTCATTTAGTCAGTGCCCCCACTGGAAAACAAAGTCTCTCTGTACATGAGTGGCCTGGTTACATCAGGTTACTCATGTACATTACTAATGGTCTGCCCCTTGTGTAATAATGTACATGTCTGTTAAATCCCCTTAATTATTTAGTGCCAAATTAGTATGAAGTGAGTGTAGAGGAATAACGGGGACAGTAGTTATAAAACACATCAGAATCAGATGGAGCTTGTTTAATATTAATGAATATAAACCTTGAACTGAATCCACGACCCTTGTTTTTCATTTCAGTTGCTTTCCCCGTGTTCCTTTGGCAATCATGCCGCTACCAGTGAATTAAGTAAACACTGATGTTTGCAATGGAATAACTAGATAGTGTCTTTATCATATGGTATAATTACATAGTAATTAGGACAAAATCTTGCATCTGATGTTTGCTCACGCAATTAAACTCAACACGTGCAAATGCTTGTGATTTTCCACTCCACTATATTTGATTGCTCTCTTTTCTGAATCTGTTTTTGATCCTGTTTGATTTTAGTGTTAAAGCTTCAAACAGCCATCCCAGAACAACTACATCATTATTTTAACTAATGGTTGAATGTTGATGCTTTTAATTTATATCTATTTAGAGCATTTAAAACTTGTTTAATCTGTAGCCATGTAAATACTGATCAACACTTTGATGTACAAATCACTATCAGCTAAAAATAACTGTGTATGCAAATACAATCTTGACTCTTGGACCAAACCAACTAATTGATCATTGGGAAATGTGAGATTTCTCCTGCATGTCAATGACAATATCCTAGCACTTTACAAAGTTCTGATTCAGAGTTTTAAAATAGCAATCCTTTCCTGTAACCAGCCTTAAAAGCCAGAGGCAGCGTCGTTGAAGCTGAACTCCCTGTGATTTGTGTAAATATTAAATTCTGCTTCTCCCTGTGCTGGTCTATCTGCTGCTCTGGCCTCACAGTGGGGACCCTGACTCTCTTCATAGTCCGAGTGCTTTTGGCCAGACACGAGTACAGACAGAGGAAGCTGGAAAAGGTAGGGAGAGAGAGAGAAACAGATTTACATGAGGCTTGAGGTTGGCTTTATGAAGAGGAGAGCTGCAGTACAAACTTTCTCTTCCTGCGTAGAAACAATTTCATGCAGTAAGGAACAAGGTCAGTGCTGCCCTACGAAGTCAAAACGCAGTAACTAAGTATTTAGTCAAAAGTTAGTCAAAACCAGATTCTGACCTTTTCCAATAACAAAAAACAATATATATATATTATTTCACAGAAATGTAGAAAGAAGCAACTACAAATGGAGCTAAGCTAACCAAAGTGCAGTGGCTGCACTCTGGCTAGTTAAAGTGGCAGGTGAGATAGCTAGCCCTAGTTTCCTGTAATTGGACCACAGATTTTGGTGCTTTAACATCTTAGTAACTGAGTTTGTTATAGCCCATAAATAAGAGAAAAAAATCAACATACAGCATATGGATAACCAATATCTCCTTGTTGTACTAGACATGAGAGAGCTGAGCCAGGGAACAGACAAGAAAAACCAACACACCAGAAAGAGAGGGATCTTTTAGGAGAGGAGAAAGTACCATCAGAGATCCGTCACAGAGAAGGCAGAGATGGCTTTATTATCTTAGCTCCACAGGAGAGGAAGCCTCTCGCCATCTCCTTGTGATAACCACCATCATCCCCTCTTTGCCTGTCCAGCAGCTCCTGTCAGTCTCTTCCCCAGTTATAATACCAATACTTGACTTTCAACCTACCTGGGAAACTCTATTTCTGTCACGGTGTCCTTATATTTGAAGCTATTTTAAGCCAATAATTTTCTCACTTCTGGTCTAACTTTCTCTCTCTACCTACTGCTGTAGCCAGTGTTACAGCCTCTTTTATTTCATCCACTGTGAGCAAAAACTGAAACACTGCTGTGCGTTTTTTTTATGTTTGTGAAATTGCTTGTTACGTTTGAGTTCATTTTAAAGCACAGGCCTCTAAACACAATCATTAAATTTCCACTTTTCAGCAATTAAGGGAGAGTTAGCAGCCTATTGACCAAACTGTAATTCAAACTAAATGTTACACCTTCCCTGCTACAATGTGGGTACAGTAAAACAGAAGATGCCCTCATTTGTTCCTTTCTGCTGGTACCCTAGATGCCAAAGCCTGCCCCAGTGGTGAGTTTATGTGTGCCAACCGCAAGTGTTTGGCCACCGTCTACGTGTGCGACGGTGACGACGACTGTGGAGATGGCAGCGATGAGCTCAAGTGTACTTCCCCTCTGACCTGCGGACCCAACCATCTGCGCTGTAACACTTCAGAGTGTGTGCCACTCATGTGGAGCTGCGATGGAGATCCGGACTGCTCTGACAGTTCGGATGAGGGGCCGGAGCGCTGCGGTGGTGACGGGGTCTCATACCTGCCTAACCGCCGGGCAAACTGCACTGCTGGGGAATTTCGCTGTGCCAACGGAGAGTGTGTGCGGCTGACGTGGAAGTGTGATGGAGATCCAGACTGCAAGGACAAGTCTGATGAGTCCGACTGCCGTAAGTTTCTGCTTTTTCTTTGCATCTCCTTTCCTTCGGCCCCTCATACTCTACCCTCTTGTGCATCCGTTTCCTCTCTTTTTTTATTATGCAAGAGCTTACATGTTCTATATTGTACGGAGGCTATCTCTATCGTCACGGCTGTCCTCTCTGCTTACACTGATGCAGAATAATGATTCTCTGTCTGAAAGGGTTTCTTTACATGAGTAATATGTAAGTGGGTTGAAGGATAGTTTCAGCACAGCAGAGAATGATACGTACGTAACCATGGCTCTCTGAGTGAGGAGGCCCGTGTTGTGTCCCAATTCCATACTGCATACTGATTCTAAGCAGGTTTTGAGTATGTAGTCTCACTGGAAATATACACTATAGTCCCACAGACCAGCTATTTATACCTGCATAACAAAATATGTATAAAAATCTATAAAAAAAACAAAACAGATTAACTCCAAAGTCGCAGTTTGATTGAATTCCTGCATTGCATCTCCTGTTTGTACAAAGCATTAAATTACATTGAATCTTTTATACTGACTTCAAAGATAAAATATACTATGACAGTTAGTATGCACTACATTCTCTATAAGACCAGTATGAAGGGTAAAATTGGTACACAGCACATCCCTCCAGCTCAAGGCTGCCCATAGAACCGTGATTACATACATAACCTCCTTTTCTTCTTGTTTAAATCTAACAGGTCATGGTATGTTTGGGTTAGCGTTTGAGTTGTTTTTCTTTATTTGATTTTGCATATACTGTATCACCACTATGAATATTTCAGCATCTAGAGTTTTTACATTTATTATGCTCGTCTTGTTCAAAGACAGCTTCAGACCAATCAAATTCCAGCAAAGTAATTACACTGAAGGTCAGTTTTATTTATTATCTCTTTGTGGAGGGTATGCTAATATATTTGTTTGCTTTGAGACTGGAAGGTGGGAAAATATTTCCTGTTACTTTGTCATTTAGCATATTCCCCCTCTGCTGGAGTTGGGGTAAAGTTTGTTTTTTTCTAAATGTGTCTGGTAAAGAAAGTGTTTCTGTTGATAAACACCGTGTGAAGATGGGGCCTTGTGATAAAACAGGTTTTCCTATTAGCTGGTCATGGATGGGAGAGCCCTGAAGCTTCTGCCTCACTAAGCCAGAGTGTGAAGCCCAGATAGTCCCACTATTCATTATCAAGATGTGCGGTGCACACATCAAACCCACCTCTCACACTCTGTGGTGTCATATAAGCAGCATTTACAAGAGATTGATGTTTAGCCAACTGGATCCCTGCATTAAGAGAGGGGCCTGTAGACTGTTAGAGGCACAATCCCGCATTTGTCCAGAGGCCGCTGTGCAAACATTTATGCTCTACCTTCACCACTATTTACATACTTAACTTTTGTGTCTGTATGAGGATTGCTTTGCTATATAAACGGAATCTTCGGCCAAGACAAACCTAATTGTGATACATTAATATATATTCTTATGAATACACTGTGTGTGCATGTGTCTGTATGCAGCACTAGGTAATTGGCAAATCAGATACAGAGACACACTGTATAGAGATTATGCTCCTAGTTATGTGTTTGTATGTGCATATGTGTGTGTTACATGCGTGTGTCCAGGCTACAGCGGGCCTGTCTGTGATAACACTAAATCATATCCCCCTCAGTCATATTATATTATATATATATTGCTTTTTAGTGTGGTTTAGAGAGGAGTTATATGAGCATACTGGGCCCCGTTGATGAAAAGCTTGTCTGTGCTTGGGTTATTAATGAAATTTGCTGTGGCTTCATGCTGCCTCCATCTTTGCGTTGCTATATTGAAAATCATTCATCACACGCCCTCAGGTTGACTCTGTCTGTCCTAGGCAGCACCTAACACAGGCTGTGAATGGATAAAAGGACATTATTGTATATGTTATTGAGCTATATTTTTGAATTCATGCATTCTTCTACATTTTATTTTACACTTCTGGGCATGTCTTTATTAGACAGTGGAAAGTAGAGAGACTCGTGAAAAACTGAAATGCCTAAAATGTCTTGATTTCAGCCCCGGGATATTGTGTTCCTCTTGTTGAGATTAAAAAGTCCAATTTCATGTGTGTGTTTCTGTGTGTGTGTGTGTGCCTCTTACAGCCCTGTTGACGTGTCGTCCAGATGAGTTCCAGTGTGGTGATGGTTCCTGCATTCACGGCACCAAGCAGTGTAACAAGGTCCATGACTGTCCTGACCACAGCGATGAATCTGGCTGTGTCAATGGTGGGTACACCTGTCATCACTGTCTGCATGTCTGGCTGCCAGAATTCGTCCTTCTCTCTGCCTGTTCAACTGTCGTCTTCTTTTAAGTGTTTGAATCTGTCTTCCTATTTGTCATTCTGTCTGCTATTTATATTTAATTCAGCATTACTCTGCCTTTTGCACATGTCTGCCTTTGTGAAATACTTTAAAACAAGAGGGAGTTTGTAATGCCCAATGACAACTTTCTGGCTACAGGACCTGGATGATCGTATAATATGGTTCACCAAAACCTCTCAGCTGTATTTGTTGTGGAAATAAAGGGAAAAAAATGTCAGATGAAAAGTGCAATGGAAATTGATGGATAGGAAACACCTTAAGGCTGCAATCCTTAAGATTTCTTTCCTGGTATCAGAAGTTAATTTCACTAATAATAATACTACAGCAAACACTCCTTGAACAGCTTCTTTGTCAGAAACAGCAACGGGTGTTTGTTTACTGTGCAGCTAAACTTACTCACATTGTTTTGGAACAGCTGGGATGAGGAAATACACAGAAATCTGTCCTGATAGTGTGTGATACTTTAAATTAGGACCCATGGCAAACATGAACTCAATAAATAGTTCCATCAACTACAATCTGATTTCATGCTGTGGATGGCAACAGCACAGCATGGTAGGTGATTGTTACCTTGCTACCAGGTTGAATATGCCCACCCTGGGTAACAGCTTAGCTCTGGCTTCTGCTTCTTGTTCCATTCTCCCTTCAATATTTAAAACTCATCCGCTGTCAAAAAATGCATAAAATGAAGAAATGTTTTTGTAATGTTTCGATCAATGATTGCATTTAGCGCTAACCGCCATCACATACGCATTATGTGTTTTGCCAGGTAAACACTTTTAAGGACCAGTAGAAAGTGTTCCATTAGCATTAACATTAACTTAATACAGCTCTGATACTGTGTACAGAGAGTGAAGAGTGAACAGTTTGATATCAATGATTTAAAACAATGCTGGATTACAAATATACATACATACTTACTTTAATCCCGTCTAGGAATGGCAGACCTCATCACTAACAATGAAGACTACAGAATGTAAATACAAATGGCTATTGCAGGAGACTTGCAGACCATAAACAGTATCAAAAATAGGATTTGATTTAATGAAACCTGTTCTTTAAATACATTTATGTGGGATTTGTCTGGACATAAATTATTATGAAATGAACTGCTATAATGACCGTTGATGTTATGTTGTTTGGATCCAGCCCACTTCTTCATTACTTCTCCCTCTTTTGACTATGATGCATAATTTACCAGCGTAGTGCAAAATTATTTTGCAGGAAATTAAGCCCTGGCACTGTGAAACTGGACCAAATTAAAGTTTAGTTTTTATTACACTAGGCTTTTTATGTGGGATGATGTGAATATCTGAGTTGGAAATATTTTTGACTGCTATTTTGGCTTGTTTCATGTGAGCCTTCAATAATCTGGGGAACCACTGGAGATATTCAATTTGACTTTGAGGTTCTGAATCAGTTTGCAATAACTTATGCAAATACATGTTCATGCAGTTTATAGTGTAGATGCTGATCTTATTTTCTGCTTTTCTGTTGCAGCCACCAAATGCGAGGGACCCCTGAAGTTCCTTTGCAAAAATGGAGAGTGCATTGATAGCTCCAAGGTGTGTGACTCTGTCAAGGACTGCAAGGACCGATCAGATGAGCCTAAGAAAGAGTGCGGTAAGAGTACTTTTTCTGCACACATACTTTTGTGGTTGTAACCTTGTGTCAGCTGACAAAAATGATTTTACCCTTGATACAAATGAACTTTTTTTATTACTTATTATTACTTTTCGTCTGGTGTACTTCTACTTCTTAATATCCCAGTAGTATGAAATGAAGGAAACTGTGTGTGTTAGCGCAGCTTTTGTCTCAGCCCCGTCCAATGAGGAAACATGTACATATCTATTGTAAATGGATTCAAGCATTTAATGTTGCAGCATAATCGTGTTTGCCATAACAAAATGCGACTACCTCCCTCCTATTACCTTGCATTTCAAAGGCTTTGGATGCTCACTCAAATTAGCAGCAGCCTCCGTTGATCAGAACAAGTGCCTGCATGTACTAATTACCATCAAGTGGTAGAAAAAGGCGTCTTCTGCTCTGCAATAATCTCTCCTCCTGTCTGTATTCTTTCATCTCTGAACCTATTTTATTGACCACAAGTAAATGGAAGTAATGTCTGGGTTAAAGAAACAGAACACTGTGTTTATCACTTTCCTTCTGTGTTGAAGAACTCAGTAAGAAGGTTTCTGAGTGACAAGCAGACATAAACTCATAAAATGACATTTCCTCAGAGGAGCATACAGTTGAGAAGTGAAAAGTGACAGCTGACAGACTGACACTCACATAGACTGACCTCTGCCAGGGACGGAAATTGCAAGACCGAAACAGGTATTCCAGAGAGTAATTCTCCTCTACCTCCATTTCTTCCTTCCTCTGTCTCTCTCCCCATATGCCCCCCCCCCCCCC